GCGTGAAACTGCACGCTTTGATTTTTGTGGACAACAACTATGCCTCGCTTAAGATACGTCACGCACTCCGTTGCTCTTATTGGTTGTAGGTCTATCCAATTGAGTACCGAGGCATTTTTTTCCTGGTTCGTTCGAAACACGCCCCATAATCCAAGCTCTATGGAGCAGTATCAGACTCATATTCTGACTAGAATTGAGTCGGACTACGTCAGGCTAATTCATTGTAGCCCCCCTGCTTTCACCATACAATATGAGAAGAAAGCAAGTATTTAACAAATTTATAATGAGAAGAGGAGAGTTCTTACGCTTTTTTGGGGAGATTCTTTCACTACATGTCGGGTAGGAGAGTGTTTTTACCTGCACAGACATTCAGAAAGTGGGAATTCACACTATCCTTTAATATCATAGGTGTAGGGGATGCCTTTAGTGTCTGTGATGGACTACATAGGTCTTTAGAGTATGATTGCTTCATCACCATGCCTTAGGGTGCTTAACTCTATCTCTCTTCTCTGAGCTTCATTATAAACTGCAAAATGTCAACACACTGTTGTCATTTATATTCATAGGATGACCTGCTAAGCTGCTCAAAGGAATTTCCTCTGGTTAACTTATATTTGCAGGGCATTAATTGGATCTAGTCTATATCTGTACTGGAATAGCTCTGAGAAATGTCGACCCGTAGACCTTTTCGCTCAAACAATTTGTTCTTTCTGTCCTTTTTACTCAGACTGATTTGGGCAAGAAGACTTTGCTTCTCTCAGCCGGCCTCATCCTGGAACGTTTTTCTGGAAACTTTGAAACTTAACGGCACTCATCTCATTCAGTGTTGCTTCTTCTAAATTAAAAGTTATTGAGGCTGAATCAATAATACGCAGTTTTTTCATGTTTTAAGTTTTTCTGTGTTTTATTTATCGGTTCCCTATTGTCCAAGAAGAGGTTGTTGTTAGAACTAAATGAAACAAAAAGACAGGTAAGTTGATCAAACCACCTAATTTTTTACCACACACCACAAAACACGACAAGTCAACTACTAGATGGGATTGTGGAGGAACTGAATAAGGAAGTCAATATTTAAAAAAAAATGCAAAATGTAGTTGAAGTTTGGCACAAGCCACACAGGAGACAGATATAGAAGCAATTAGGAAATAGATCAGATGCCAAAAGAATGAACTTTATATTCTATATCCAAAGCACTATCTGAGACTTATTCTGCAAGTCTCTTTAAATACACTGCCTCATAGTGAAAGTAAGAATAAAACTAGAATTACTTTTTTTTTTTTTTTACAGTGTCCTGTCTGGCAATGTGGCAATAAGAATTATTGTCTTGATGCCAAAAAGAGCCCAACAGATTTTACTTTCACAAGTGGAGCAGTAGGGCTATAGCCATAGTGTTCCGCATGTTTCATGCATATAAATTGCTTTATTATAATTACTGTATGCAGGGAGTTTTACAGATTATATGGACACTGCAATGTATAAAGAATCAAAGAAGAAAAACAAAAAAAGGAGAAAAGATGAAAGAAAGAGGAGATAGAAAGTAGATAATGATAAAACATTTTCAGTCTGCCTTATCACCTGCAACAAGATGTAAAAAGAACAGCAAAACCAACAGACATGGAATGAGACATACAATAAAGTATCCCTTGAAACTATCCCTGAAACTAGAATGACTTTAATAAAGATCAATGCAGCTGAATACAGGATGATTGTGGAGGAGAGAGATTGGTTCACCTGCCAGCAGTACAGAGACATTGACCGTGCAGTGCGAGCTACAAGGGAAATATTTACTTAAAACATATTGGTACTGGAATGGTGTAGTCAAAGTTGAAGAGCTGCTTCTACAAACTAAACTAAAAAACTTGCAGATTTTACTGATGGCAATACAAACTGCTGTGGAACTGATGAGATCTGTTGCTTCATAATTAGAGGCTCCTGAGCTTAAATCTCCTCTGGGGGGGTTTCTGTCAGGACTGCACGTTCTCCCTGTCTGTCCATTGATTTCTTCAATCAGTTTGACTTTCCCATTCCAAACGAGCTCCACATTTAGTAAACTTGTAAATGCAAATAACCTTTAGCTGTTGATTGTGTAAATCTTTGCCTGCCTCTTTAAAGACCTGTTTGGAATGTTAGATCCATATTTGATCCACTACTCTTCTTAAAGGAGAATTTAGATCAATCAAAGGAGACTTTGATTGATTCCAGCCTCTGGAAACTTTTAGCCTCCTGTCCTCAGTTATAGAAAAGTCAAAAATCCTGAGACGTTAAACATGTCTGTAATTTGCAAATGCATTGAAGCTGCTTTGAGGATCAGATTGCTCAAACCTAACCAACCAGTGCTCACAGATCGATTAGCTGCACAGCTGGAAT